GTATTTTCACATACCAACATTGACGCCGCAGACCTGGGAAATTATTTCAATACAATCGCAACCAACATTTTGAGAGATGTAATTAGCACTAGTTCTTATGAGGTTTACCTCAGGGATACTAAAATTGATAATTTAAAATCCTTTTACTTTGAACCTATAACTGTCTTCGAATTAATTGAAGTTGTGAACAAAATGAAGAATAATAATACAGCTGATAAATATGGCTTGAACACCAATATTCTAAAGAAAATCATTCAACAGTGTGTGGAACCACTAACGTTTCTCCTCAATCAATGTGCGTCTGAAGGTGTTTTTCCCGAAGAAATGAAAATAGCGAAGGTTCTACCAGTCCACAAGAAAGGTGATGTTAACGACTGTGAAAATTATAGGCCGATTTCGATTCTGCCAGTTCTCTCAAAGGTCTTTGAAAAGTTAATTTTAAACAGATTAGTAAGATATTTAAACCGCAATGATTTTTTAAATAATAACCAACATGGTTATCGTGAAAATAGATCCACAATTTCTGGGATTATGAAGGTAATGGAATTTGTATTGAATGGTTTGGATGAGCAGCAGCTGGTGCAAATCAATCTATTGGACCTAAGCAAAGCGTTTGACACGGTGTGTCATGAAGTACTGTTGGGTAAACTAAGTTTCTACGGAATTAGAGGTCAACAATTAAATCTGATTAGATCCTATCTGCATGGAAGACAACAATATGTCTTCTGGGCAAATCAATCGTCTGAAATGAAGGAAATAAAATATGGAGTACCTCAAGGGTCAATACTCGGCCCTCTGCTGTTTTTGATATACATCAACGACTTACCGGTGCATGTCAAGGAAGATGTTTGTATTTATGCAGACGATACTTCAATCTTGATCAAAGATAGAGATCATCAGGCGTTGCGGGAGCGGTCCACGGCTGCAACCAAAAGAGCTAAAGAATGGTTCTCGAACAATAAGCTAAAACTGAATGAAAACAAAACTGAGAAACTTGTCATTGATTTTAAGAAACCCAACAACTCTGAAGCTGTTAAGTTTCTAGGTTTAATATTGGATGTTAAGCTGACGTGGTGTCCTCACATTGATGCCATATGTAAAAAATTGTCAACGGCTGTTTATGTTATCCGACGTCTTAAAAAAGTTGCCTCTCATGAAGTTGCAAAAATTGCCTACTACGCGAATTTCTATACGATTGCGACGTATGGCATTGTTGTTTGGGGCCACTCGTCCAACATTGGAAGAGTCTTCGGATTGCAGAAAAAGGCAGTTCGTGCACTGTGTGATCTGGAATCGACCGAAAGTTGCAAAGAATCGTTCAAAAGAGAAAAATTACTTACCTTATTTGGGGCATACATATTAGCAACTCTAGTATACGTACATGAAAATAAGATCAAATTTACTAAAAATGGATATATCCACTCACACAACACCAGAGGAAAAGAAATGTTGAGTAATTAGTAGTGAGTAGAGTGTTTGTAATTAGTGATATTACATGAATAAATTATTATTATTATTACTTCACAGACCCTTAGTCACCTTAAAATTTGCTAAATTTTAGTGAAAACCGCATCTCGATATCGCCACCCGTTCTCGAGTTATAGAAGAAAATGTTAAAAACTCGAGTGCCATCAATCGGATCCAGTTACCTCATCGAGAAAAACAAATCACATTACCATGGTAACTGTAAACATGTCATTTACTAACGCAGAAGCGTATGATAGAGCGTATGATGATTTATTTTCAATGTTTCGAATACGATGCAACTGCATGGCAAAAATGTGCAATGCAATTACGACAAAGAAAGACATTTTTCTCTAGAAGTGTTTTTAAGATTGACTTAGCGATTACGGAAAACTGGCAACGTGTAGCCCATTCAGACATCTCTATGAATTCGTAAATCATATTGGTGCGCAATGTGATCCCACATAATCTGGGAACTCCGAAAACAATTGTCCACAAGAGTTCTCAAGAGAATAATATCTCCACCACGTTGTTTTACATCAGGCCTTAACAGATACCGATTATGATAACAGACTGAACTATTACCATTGACTTTTAAATATGATTTGGGCAAATCCAAACCTTTTATCACAAATGCTATGGATGCATGAAGCATCTGTCCACAAGCTGATGTAAACTTGCATAATATGCATTCTTGGTTCGAGCAAAACCCACATTGCTTTCACCCCTTTATCTATTGGGTAGACTAAACGACCTGACTTTTCAAGAAAAACCAATAACCAGGGAAAATATGACAAAACACTAAATACCAGTAGAAACGTGTCCAGGGCCGAGACTTAAGCAGCGCTTTTTTTTCGTCGAAACTAGATTAAATAAATGCATCGAGGTTTATGGAAGGCATTTCGCACATTAGTGAGTTATTTTTGCCAAAAATTTAAGTTATTCTAAGTGTTTTGGTTTATTTTGTTTTATTATCATTGTTGATGTTTCATTGATCCGTTGGCTTTTCAACACGCCTCAAAAGTAGTTTTGAAGCAGTTCTAAGCTTGGATAAAGTGTGAAGGAAGGTTCTAGATAATAAAATTTTTGTTCTCTCTTATTTGTTTCCTAAGGTAACTTGATCCGATTAAGATATACGAATTTTTAACATTTTCTTTTATAATTCGAGAATGGATGGAGATATCGAGATGCGGTTTTCACTAATATTTAGCAAATTTTATGGTGATTAACGGTCTGTGAAGTAAATAGTACCGTTCCATTTAACTTTTTTTCAAAAATCACAAAAATATGTAACCGCTGCAGATAACGCCCTCTAGCTTATTTGTTTTAAACCAAGCGGTCTTACTGAAAATATCTTTTAAAAGAGCATGAAATGCTCTTTCAAACAAGACCAAAAATATTCAAATCGGTTGAATGGTTCAGGAGATATTAAAATGTAAACATTTGAAAATGCATTGGCCTCCCCCTCCCTTATTATGACAGATATGAGAAATATCGCAAAACAAAAGCGATGCGGTATTATCCAAGCTATTAAATGATGTTGTCAAAGTTATAGCTCACCGTTGTTGAGATACAGCCGCTCCGTACGCTTAACGGGACACCCTGTATAAATCAAAGACGGTAGTTCTAGCTTTAATTGTTATTCAGCGTAACGATAAGCTAAACAGTTAAAAGTGGAACTAACACTAGACCTTGAACTAGAAACCCAAATTTTGGTGTGTTGAAACTAGATTAAATTTACTACAAATTCGTTTTTAAATCATCTCGATATCTCAATTATTTCTTACGATATGACTTTTTAAATTTAACATTAACAAACTTAATCAGTAAAAAATTGATTAAAAACATTATAAACTTACAGCAATATAGAAACGATTTTTATCTCATCAATTATTAATTAAATTAGCTTCAAATCGGTTTTTATTTCATGTTGATATCTCAATTCGTTCTTGAGATACGATTTTTTGAAATACGACTTAAATCAAAAATTTCATTCTTCAGTTATATCGAGGATTTACTGTATTAAAATTACTGCACGAACGTAATTTCCGGTACATTTAATCGCTATCTTAAAAAGTGCACTCAACGGCAACGTTTTTATTACTACTAGAAAATAAAAAAAAAAACACCAAAATATATTTTCATTTTGATTGTAGTATAGCCGAAAATAGTCGATAAGATTTCAATTGAATCGAATTTTCTTTTTGTATTATTGTTACAGATAAAGAAAATGTTCTCGAATGCGACAGATAAGGCGAGTTCGAGTGCATCAGACACTTACAGTTCAATTTTAAACAGAAAAATAATATAATTCGAGATATTTCCAAACAAAATGAATCTTTCGGAAGATTTTAATTTCACTTCGAATTCAAGTGATTTTATTGGTAACGATACCGGTAAGTAATTTTTTTGATAACATGAAATACATCAAAGTAAACCCTTAAAATATCTCCTTTTCCTTTTGGAATAAGACGAATTCTAAGAAATTAAGCGAAACGATCTTTTGGTGTGGTCACCCTATGTCAAAGTCTAAGACTTTTCCTTTAAGATTTACGTCTTGTAGAGGGGAAAGTTTCTCCGGGAACATCTAATCGGAATCCATCTTTCCTTACGAAATGGATACAATCTCCGAGGTCCAGTTAATCATTATTACTTCTCTTTTACAGGAAAATTTATCCTTCCCGTTTGGAGGCAAGTAATATGGAGCGTTTTATACGCTACCATAATTATAATCGCAACTGGCGGAAACGTTATCGTCATTTGGATCGTTCTCGCACATAAAAGAATGAGAACCGTCACTAATTACTTCTTGTGTATGTCAAAATGAATTAAATTTACTTTTTAAATTGATTTTTTGATGATTTTAGTGAATCTCTCAGTGGCTGATACGATGGTGTCGACATTAAACGTTACCTTTAGCTTCGTGTATTGCTTAAATGGACATTGGCCCTTCGGTGAATCATACTGCAAAATTTCTCAGTTCATATCGGTGGTTTCAGTGTGCGCATCAGTGTTTTCCTTAATGGCTATTTCCATAGACAGGTCAGTAAACCACTCAATGACATAACGTCTGTGAAATTCTAATGCCTTGTAACCCACAAAAAATCCAAAATTGTGTTATTATATTTTTATGACATCTACAGAATTATACATAGTACTAGTAACACCTAGTAATCCACAAATACGCATTTACTTAGATAAAAGGGATTTCTTTCATCACGTATCCCAAATGCACCTCAA